ATGTGGGTGCTGGTATTCGAACCCCAGTCTTCTACAAGAATAACCAGTGTTCTTAACCACTGAGCCATCTTTCCAGCCCCTTTTTAAAAAACTTTTTTAAAAATTTATTTTTTATTTATTTATTGATTGATTGATTGTCTTTTTGAGACCAATATGTAGACCAGGCTGACCTCAATCTCACAGAGATCCACCTGCCTCTGCCTCCTGAGTGCTGGGATTATAAAAATTTTATTTTTATGCTGGGTGTGGTGGTGCTCTCCTTTAATCCCAGCACTTGGGAGGCAGAGGCAGACAGATCTCTGTAAGTTCAAGGCCAGCCTGGTCTACATAGTGAGTTCCAGGCCAGCTGGGGCTACTGGAAGACCCTGTCTCAAAAAAGACCAAAAAAAATTTTTTTTATTTTTTATTTATGTGTATTTTATTTATGTGTGTCTGTGTGCAGGTGCCCACGTCAGAAGAGGGCCTCAGATCTCCTGATTGATGCCCAGATCACGGCACTAGAGTTACAGGCAGTTGTGAACTGCCTGATATGGGTGCTGGAATCTGAACTCAAGTCTTCTGCAAGAGCAACAAGTGTTCTTAACTGCTGAGCCGTCTCTCCAGGCCCCTGCCCTGACTCTTATGCTGCAGTCTGGGCTTTGCTCTAGCCATGCCCTGCCAGGAACACAAGGTCTCCTTTGTTGACCTTGATTCCTCTCAGACCTTCACATGTCTCTTCCACCAGTTTCATTGGGATTTCTTTTCTCTGCTGTCCTTGTCTATGAATCAGCCCCTATCTGGGCCCATCTCCTGTTGCCCCAAGCTCCGCATGCCCTTGCTGACACCCCTGTGCCTTTTTATACTTTGTTCTCTCTGTCTGAAATGCCAAACCCTTGCAAACCCCTAACCGTTTTTCAGTCACCATTTCAGGGAAGTGTTTTTCCCTCCTCCATGCACATTCAATCATTCCTCTGCCTGTCTTCTGATCTATCACAGTTCAGATCACTTTGTGTTATAATTACTTGGATGCCTTCCTCTGCAATAAAAAAAAAAGTTCCACAAGGGCAGGGGCTGCATCTTGTTCATTCGGTGCCCCTTTCCCTGGCATGTAGCACACAGTCTGACATGAGTAGATGTCAGGAGACATTGAGTGCACAGTTAATGAGTGGATGGATGGATAATGATCACCTCACCTTTTGCCAGCATCAAAGGTTCAAGGGTGTGTAAAGGCCCTGAGGGCAGGGTGATTCAGGGCACACCAGAGCACACCAGAGCACATATCAGCTGACAGCTGTTAGACAACTTAATGCATAGCCAATGATTTCACTAATGAAGATATAACTAATGGTGGCCATAAACCAGTACCCTCAGCTACCCTAGAGCCACAGCACTCTCCAGCTTTCCAGTGAGTCACCCCTGGCTGAGCCTGAGGACAGGGATCATAGTTAAGAGGTGGATGGTCAGTAAACAGTGGCCAAACTGGCACCAGATGGTCTGATCCTAGCCATGACTCACTCCAGTGTGTGCTGGTGGTAAGAACTCAGTCTCCAGAATCACATAATTCTGAGCTTAAGGCTCAGCACAGTGATCAGCTTAGACTTCAGAGAGTTGCATGTGCTGTCTGGACCTGTTCCTACCTCCTCTCCCTGGAAATGAGACACAGGCCCCACCCCGGTGACAAAGAAAACACAGTCTCCCAGCTTTGGAAAGCTTGTGTCTCCTAGAAAGAGCATTGTGCCCTCATTTCCTTGGTTCTGTAATGTTTGTCTTTATGCCCCTAGTATAAAGAGTTCAAACCAGGGCACAGGGAATGGACCAGAGAGGTAAAAAAAACAGAAGTGGGGCCAGCTAGACGGCATAGAGGTAAGGACAACTGTTGTATAAGCCTGATGACCCGCGTTCAAGCCCCCATGCTATTATGGAAGGAGAGAACCAAATTCTGAAAGTTGTCTTCTGATCTTCACATGGGCAAGGCAATTTGTTATTATTGTAGGTATGTGAGTGCACTAACAGGAAATAAAAATGAGGGGGGGGGTAGATTTCCAACTGCATAGAGGGGTAGGGAAGAAATTTGAAAAGGAACAAGATAGAGTTAATAGAAAAAACTCTTTGGATGATGGAGAAATTAAATAAGTTGAGGGAAAAGGTTGGCACAGGTAGAGGAGAATGCTCCCTAATGCATGGTGACCTTGGAGGAGGGAAGCTGAGAAGCAGGAAGATGGCCTGAAGATTTGGGGAGGTGCCACAGTTAACTAATAGACAGAGTTGGTGAAAAGGTATCAGACGTACAGGATGATTCCAAATGCCTGAATCTGCTTGATCAGGTCACATGAAGAAAATGAACTTCTAGTATTGCAAGAGTGGCCTCCTGTGTCAGCAAAGTGTGAGGAACTGGTCTGTGTTAGAGTACCAGGGAGGCAGGGCAGGGAGAGGCCAGGATTGGAGGTCCGGTGGGAGGTAGGGGAACACAGGGCTTACTCAGCCATTCTCTTGGGGGATTTCACTAGGACTTGGCTGGTGGGGAATGGCTGAGAAAAGGGTGAACGATGAACTCACTGTAGAGAAAAAGAGTGATTAGTAGTTAAGGTCCTGAATGCTGGACAGAGCAGTTTGGCCTAGATCTGTAGACTCTGAGCATAACCTAAAGGTGTGTATATACCCAGGTCTTTCTTTCTTTCTTTCTTTCTTTCTTTCTTTCTTTCTTTCTTTCATTTTTTTCATCTTTCATCTTTCTTTATTGGGATGTGGTCTCATGTAACCCAGGCTGGCCTCAAATTCATTATGCAGCCAAAAGTGATCCTGAGCTTCAGGCCCTCCTGCCTCCACCTCCTGAGTGCTGAGATTATAAACCCACACCACCAGCAGGGCTGGAGATCAACTCAGGGCTTTGTGCATACTAGGCAACCGTTCTCTAGAAATTGAGCTACATTCTCCAGGACACACACACACACATACACACACACACACACACACACACACACACACACACACACACATTTTTTTTTTGACATAGGGTCTCACTCTATAGGCCACAGTGGCCTAGAACTCACCATGCATTCCAAACTCATGGCAGTGTCCCACCTCTGCCTCCTGAGAGCTGGGATTATCATCATGAGCCACTGTGCCTGCTGAGGTCTGCCTGCTTCAGCAGCTAATTTTCTCACTGAGCATAGTGGCACACGCCTTTAGTCCCAGCACTTGGGGGACAGAGGCAGGTGATTTCGAGGCTAACCTGGTATACATAGCAAGTGCCAGGCCAGCCAGGGTTATAGGGAGATCTTGTCTCAAAATGACAAAAAAAAAAAGCTAATTTTGTCTTCACTGTGACATAGAAAAGAGTGACTAACATGTCCTAGAGCCAGATGTGGAGGCATACCTGTAATCCCAGCTCTGGGGAGGCTGAAGCAAGAGAATCAAAAAGCCAGCCTGGCTGGGTGTGGTGGCACACGACTTTAATCCCAGCACTTGGGAGGCAGAAGCAGTTCAAGGCCACCCTGGTCTACATAGTAAGTTCCAGGCCAGCTGGGGCTACAGGAAGACCCTGTCTCAAAAAGACAAAAAAAAAAAAAAAGCCAGCATGGGCTATATAGGATGATGCTATTTCATTAAAACAAACAAACAAAAAAATTGAAACGAACTTGTGGCTTGGGTGCATGTCTGTGCTGTGTATGTTTGGGTCTACTGCACCATGCTTTCCTGTGCCATGTGGAGGTGGGTTGAGGGTCTGTTTTTCTTTTCTTTTTTTTTTTTTTTTTTTTTTTTTTTTTTTTTTTTTTTTTTTTTTTGAGTCAGGGTTTTTTTTTATAGCCCAGTCTGGAAAAAAAAGTAAATGTGTCTGAGTCGTACACCTTGAGTTCTGTGTATTTTTGTGGAGCCTGAGCTGTGTTTCTAGAAACAAGGGTACCCTGATGCTGGAACTGGGTGTCCATAATGGGGACATGGCCAGTTCAGCACAGTTGGGAGCTTTAGAGATAGACCTGAATGATGACTCTTACACTGGTGTCCCTGAAAGAATGACCTTTCTCTGAGCAATAATTAACTTGGCTCAGTGAGAAGAATCCAAACTGTGGTGGTGAAGGGATGAAGGGGTGGGGCCTGGTCAGCACAGGAGGAGGCCTGGAAGTCCTATGGGCACTTGTGTTGTTATCATCTCCTCCTGCCTTCAGGTCAGTCACCCTGACCCAGGTGACCAGGCCAAAATAGTTAACAAACTTTGAGGCCCAGGCATTGACCAATCAAAACAGATCCCAGTCAGGCTCTGAATGGAGCAGGGCTAGAGGCTGTGGCCAGGTCAAATACAACCTCTTCCATGGGCAGACAATGGGAATGACCTAAGGGAAGAGCCCCAGGACAGGGCAGGGCAGAGGGATGATGGAAGAGAACTCAGGGGCTCAGGGCAGGAACTGTGAACAACTGTTAATGGGAGTGTTTCAGACTATTAACAACTGGGATAACCTTGTCATGTGCTAAACCCTGGCCTGTCTCTGCCTCCAAGCAGCTTCTAAGGCAGACCTGGGTGCCTTGTCTCCTGGTGTTGGGACAGTGAGGGACCATTTTTTTCTGTCAATTTCAGGAGTGGGGGGGTGAAGGGTCATAAATTATAGAAATTGAAGTAGCCTTGTCTGCTTTAGGAATGGGCCAATTATGATTAGCTATGATCCAGAGAGAGAGAGAGAGAGAGAGAGAGAGAGAGAGAGAGAGAGAAGAGGAGAGAGAGAAGAGAGAGAGAGAGAGAGAGAATGCCTCTAGGGAACAACAGCCTTGGAGGGGGACATGGAGGATCTAGGGACAGGGAATGAAACCACCTCTCCCCAGGAAGAAAGGCCGTGGCAGGGTTGTGAGTTGATGTTCTCCACTGGACTCACAGCCAGACAAGAAATCTTATCTCCAGAGGTGAAGTCACCATCCTGCTCTAAAACATGAGTGAGCCTGGCCCTGTGCTTTTCCTCTATCTTCTTCTGGCAGGGGTAGGTTGGGTACTGGAGGTGATGTCTGGTCCCTTCTGCACACAACTACAGTGACAGGCTCCAAGCATGTCATACCTTTTATTACAAAAATCAATAACTTAATTCCATTCTATACAAAGTCAGGAGGAATTCTGGCCTGATGTGCAGCCCAGTGTTCCATCCCTGTCCCAGGAAGGGAGAGGAGTTTTGTCCCAGAGGCTCTGGGAACCACCTAGGGCCTGCTAGTGTATGTACACTGTGTCCAAACCAAGAAAGTCCAAGTTAGGGGCTGTAGCTGAGTGAGGGCTGCGTCTGGGAAACTGAGTGCTGTCTGCCAGGCTCCCCATTCGGGAGCATCGGGTCCTCACTTGGCAGGTCACCTCAGCAAAAGCATGTCCTCCAGCAGTCTAGCGATATCAACGTCTCCAATGACAGGGCGGAAGAAGAGGTCTACCAGCAGGCTGGGTGGAATGCTCTTGAGAGTGGAGGCCATGAGGAGGACTTGGGCCAGGCGGCCTTGGCCAGCTGGGTACCAGGGCTCTAGGCCTTCACACAGCGCCCAGTGAGCCTCCCTCTGTAGATGTGCGATGTGACAGGAGGCGTGGAGGCCTGGCACATCTGTGGTAGAGAAAGTAAAGCAGGCTGGTGAGCAGCTGCCTAGGATTCAAACCCTGCCCCCTCTCTGGATGCAACCCCTCGTGCATGTGAGGCAAGCACTCTACAATTGAGCTACATCAGGATGAGTCCTTGAACCTGCTAGGCAAGGGTTCTAGCGCTGTTCTGTGCCCGTAAGGACAGAGAAGTGAACTAATTGACATGAACTAATTGTTTCCTTGTTTTGTGGTGCCGCGAATCAAACCTAGGCTGGTGCCATACAAGGCAAGCACTCTACCAATAAATTTCACCCCTTGGTCCCCCTCTGCCACTTTTGTTCGACATTTGAAGCATCAACCACTATCATTTTCTTCATTATAATTTTATTCATCCATCCATTTATAGAGAAGTGGATAATAATTGATTAAGAACCAGGCTGCCTATGTTTGAATCCCAGTGTTGTCACTTAATAGCTAAGTGATCTTAAACAAGTAATTTAATCTTTGTGCCTCAGTTTCTCCATCTGTAAAATAGGAACAATGACTGTAGGTGCCTCCTAGGCTTATTATGAAGTTGAACCAAACCAATATTTGTAAAAATCCATAGACTAAATCCTAACATATGGTAAGTTCACTATGGATATTTTGTACTGTGACCACAGGTCTTCACTACACTTAATGCTTGCAAGGCCTGTCTCATATATTGCTCAAAGCTACAAAGAACACATTCCCTAACAAGGCTCTCCTTCTAGATTTCACAAGGAGTCCCCGCCCTCCAGTCCCCGGGTACTCTTTCCTTCCTTGTGTTACCTTTCTGAACCCATGGAGGACTTTAACCTGCAGATCTTCAGCATGCAGCCTGCCCTTGAAGATGTGTCTGGCACATGGCTGTGTCCGCCCCCACCTCTTCCTCCCTCCCACATTCCCTGAGAGTCCTGCAAATTTCTCTGCACAATGGCTAAGACCAATCTCTGGAGTGAACTGACGTGAGTTCCTAGCCCTGTTCTGCCCCTACCTGGGTGTGTAAACTTCGGGTAGTTGTTGTAGCTCTCTGTGCTTCTTCCATGAGATAGCTACTTGAGGCTGACAAGGATCCAATGAGATGATATATGTCAAGCCACGAAAAGGTTCTTCCCTAGCTGGGTCCTGTGCCCTCCCACCTCGGCCCCCATCCAGGAGTGTCTGGGAGTTCACCTGGGTTGAAGAGGATGGTTCCTTTCAGGTAGGCATACTCCTTGGGACTCAGCTCAAGGCTCCAGAAAGACTCCAGGCAGCGCTGGAGCCACTGTACAGCAGCCAGTGAGGGTTGGGGCGGGTCTGGGAGCTGGCCGCTGTGAGCACTGCTGCTGTGCTCCTCCAGCAGGATCTTCTTGAGAATACTGGGCACCGGAGCCTCAGTCACTTCGAAGGTCACAGTATCTTGGGCCAACCCAAGCAGGAAGAGGGGGCCCCAGCAGCCCTCCAGCAGCCGCCGCTGGTCCTCAGGGGGCAAATGGTAGAAGGATGGCAGGTTCCTGAGGAAGTATACTGTCTTGGCCAGGACATCCAAGGCCTCCTGGCAGGTGCGGTGCGGAGCACACAGGCGGACAGGCCGGTGCTGTTGGCACAGGCAGTGGCTGCGGGATGTGGGTGCGATGGGCCTTGCCCTGAGGCTGGGGCTCAGAAGTGCATAGAGAATAGTGGGGCGGCCTGTAGAGCCCTGGCATGGGCAGACCCCTGACTGGCTGGAGCTCATGATTTGGGGACTTGCTCTTACTTCTTCCTAGCTATCTGGTCCTCTGTGCTGTACTGTAGGCGCTATTTATATCCCTGATGGGCGGGAGGGGGAATGGCCACACAACCTTGACTCCAGAAATATTGTTCATAGAAAAAAAAAAAAAAAGAACTCACACACACCGACCCTGGCATGACTGGTGGGAAGTGCTGGGGGAGGGTCACTGGGAGCACCACGTGGCGCTGATAGTGCTTTAGTCAATGAAGTGGCCATTGCAGGGCATAGGCACAGGGCCACCTGCCCGCTGCCTGGCTGCCCTTGATCAGATGACTCAAGTGGATAAACAGGGTCATTAACCCAGGCGGTACCAGGGCACCAAGGCCTTAGGTGCTCAATCAGCAGGTGGCTGTGACTGCTGTTTATATTGGTGCCCACTTTTCCTACATACAAGACCAGGGCTCTCCCTAGGCCAGGGATCCAGACAGGGAACAAGGCCCAGCCTGGAAGTGCCTTATCACTGCTGTGTTTGCCTAACCTTGGGGCCCTGCTCCTGTTGTTGGTAAGGAACAGACTGCAGGGAAGAGAGCCAGGACTCTGGGGGCGCTGGGAGGACTTTGTTCCCTTTGCAGTCTAGGAGCCCCCCTTCCTGAGACTCCAGTACTGGGATCCCTTCAGGAGGAAGGTGTTCAGAGCACCCTGTATTCCTACAGCTCCCGAGAGGCAGAGTCTGCTGAGAAGCCTTCACAGAACCATTATGAAATGTGACTGCTATTTATTGAGCACCTACTATATGTGGATCACTTTCCATTGTAACATTGAGAGCTTCCCTGTGAGGCTAGACTCTTACTCATGGAGACTCAAAGAGGTGAAGTGACCTGCGCATAGTCACCCCAACCGGACGGGGCAGAACACAGAGCTGTCTGATCCCAAAGACCTTGTTTATTCCCCTGGATCAACTGTGCAGCTAAAGTATGAGTTTCCCAGTGCTGCTGGCTTAGTGGCCCACCCCCTACTGCTGCCCGGTCTGCAGGTGTTGCCCACCTGTGGTGCCCACTGTTCTGTCAGCTCATGGCTCCTCTATCCTGGATATCTGTCTCAGGTTAGAGGTGAGGGAGGGACAAGGAAAGTGGGAGATCCTCAGTTGTGTCAGGTTACTGACCTTGGCCAGCCTAGCCTAGCAGTTCTGTTGTTGCCACACTCTTGAGCAATCAGCCGCTCTGGATGGAGAGAGACAGACTCTGGCATCACCAGCCCTGGCATCTACTCCTGGCCTCATTCTGTTGCATCTGTGAGACTTTGGGTTGGTCTTCAGTCATCTGTGAGCCTCAGGTACCTCATCTGAGACAAGAAGACCTGGCCACAGGACTGCTGTGAGGACAGATTGAGGTCTGCTTGTCAAATACCAAGCAGGTCCTGTATACAATAGGGGGCTAGAATCTGCTCTCCTTTACCTAAAGAATTTAAGAATCTGCAGACAAGGAGGCATACAGCTTTCACTTTTGAGTTTTTGTTTTGAGTTAGGGTCTCATGTAGCCCAGGCTGGCCTCAAAGTTGATATGCATCCAAGGATGACCTGGAACTGTGGAATCTCCTGCCTCAGCCTCCCAAGTGCTAGGATTACAGGTGTGCGCTGCCATACCCAGCTTGATTGTGGATAATTTTAGTCCTCTCATTTATGAAGTTTCTGTCACATCCTTTTATCTCACTGAGGCCTCAGTGTCCCTCCAAAGAAGATCTCAGAGTCAGATGACCTAGGTCCACAGCCTCCTTAGCTGAGTGACCTTGGGGAAGCCATTTTATCTTTGTGTGCCACAGTTACCTTATTTTTTTTAATTTTAATTTATTATTTTTATTTAATGTGTGTGAGTGTATTGCCTGCATGTGTGGTTGGAAGAGGGTGTCAGATTCCCCTAGAACTGGAATTACAGATGGTTGTTAGCTGCCATGTGGGTGCTGGGTCCTCTGCAAGAGCAGCCATCTCTCTTGGTGGCAAGAGCTGGGTGTGGTGATACCGTCCTGTAATCCCAGAACTCAGGAAGACAAGGCCCGAGGATCACTGTGAGTTCATGGCCAGTCTGAGCTACATAGTGAGCCCCTGTCTCAAATAAAACAAACTAATTAATGACATGGTTATAAGAATGTTCAAAAGTGGGGGCTGGAGTGATGGCTTAGCCATTAAGAGCACCGGCTGCTCTTGCAGACCTGGGTTTAGTTCCCAACAGCCACATGGAGACTAACAACCATCCATAATTCCATGGGATCCAACACCCTCTTCTGTTCTCCACTGTCATTGCAAGACACAGATGCACTTAGATACATGCAGGCAAAACACTCATACACATAATATAAAAATAAATAAATCACCAGGTGTGGTGGCACATGCCTTTAATCCCAGCACTCAGGAGGCAGAGGCAGGTGGATCTTTGTGAGTTCGAGGCCAGCCTGGTCTGCATAGTGAGTTCTATGCTAGATGGGGCTACAGGGAGACCCTATCTCAAAAAGACAAAATAAAATAAAAATGAATAAATCAAAAAAATTTAAAAAAAGAATAATCAGAAGCGTTGGCTTGATGGGGCAGGAAATTTAAACCATTTGGAGGGCCCCCTTTAAGCAATACTGAGGATTGAATCTAAGGCCTTAGGCATGCTGGGCAAGTGCTCTACTGGTGAGCTATCTTCTCTGTCCAGGCCTTATTTAGGAAAAGAATAGAAACTCAAGTATGAAACTGAAAAGTTACAGTGAGAAAGTGAAATACAAATAAACTGACAGAACTGGGACAGATGGTGCACACCTGCCATTCCAGCACTTGGGGGGGGTGAGCTCCCTTGAGATTAGAGTCAGGTTTTACCTCTTCTTAGGACTGTCACAGGGGAAATGCTTTGTTCTTCCTCTTACTGTTGTGTTTGCTTTGTCCTGGTTTTTTGAGATAGGCTCTCACTGTGAGAGCTGACCTTTGAACTTGCAACAATCCTGTTGCCTTGCTTCCCAAGTGCTGGGATTACAGGCCTGAGTTACCAGCTGGGCTGCTGCATCTGCATCTGTCTCTAAATTTATGATTCATGTGTGTAGACATGTCTGTCACTGGGTGCATATGAAGGTCAGAGGACAACTTTGTACAGTTGGTTCTCTCCTTTCACCTTTATGTAGGTTCTGGGGATCAAACTCTGGTGGTGTGTCCAGCAACTGCCTTTACCCACTGAGCCATCTCTCCCACCCTTTTTTTGTTTTATTGAGACAGGGTCTCATGTAGCCAAGCCTGGCCTTGAACTCACAATGTAGATAAAGCTGACCTTTAACTCTATCCTCCTTCCTCCACTTCCCAAGTGTTGAGATAACAGGCATGCACCACCACATTTTGCCTGGTTTCTTTTTTCTTCTTTTTGTGGTACTAGGGCTTGAATCCATGGCTTTGCTTACATTAAACAAGTACTCAAGTGCTCTACTACTGAGCTACAGCACCGTACTCCCTTTAATTAATTAATTTTTTTTTTGAGACAGGCTCTCCCTGTAGCCCCAGCTGGCCTGTAACTCACTATGTAGACCAGGCTGGACTTGAACTCACAGAGATCCACCTGACTCTGCCTCCCAAGTGCTAGAATTAAAGTCATGCACCACTACGGCTGGCCCTAATTATTATTATTATTTTAATGTGTATGAGTGTATTGTCTGCATGTATGTGAGTACACCCGGCTGTGCAATGCCACAGAGGTCAGAAGAGGGCTTCGGATTCCCCTGGAACTGGAGTTAAAGACAGTTCCTAGCCACCATGTGGGTGCTGGGAATCAAACCTAGGTCCTCTGCAAGAACAGTCAGTGTTCTTAACCGCTGAACCATTTCTCCAGCCCCCCTAATTAATTTTTAATTAATTTATGGTACGAGTGTTTTGACTGCATGTATGTAAGTGCACCTGTATATGCAATACCTGCGAAGGTCAGAACGGAACATTAAGATCCCCTAGAACTGGAGTTCTAGGACCAAACCCAGGTCTTTTGTAAGAGGAGCCAGTGCGCCTAACCACTGAACTATCTCTCCACCCTCCCCACCCCCTTTTAAAAACAGAATATTATTAAGTTATTCAGGCTGACCTTAAACGCACTCTATTATTAGCTTATTAGGGTTTGAAATTGGGATCCTCCTGCCTCAGCTTCCTAGGTTGCTTTGATTATGGGTCTGTGCCGTCATATCTGGCTGCTTGGTGGTTCATTTTGGATTTTTTTTGACACAGGGTCTCACTATGTAGCCCTGGCTGGCCTAGAACTGGCTATATAGACCAGGCTGGCCTTGAACTCAGAGATACAGAGATCTACTTGCCCTACTTTCTCAAGTGCAGGGATTAAAGGTGTACAACACTATGTCTGGATTTTTTTTTTTTGTCTTTTTGAGACAGGGTCTCCCTGTAGCCCCAGCTGTCCTGGAACTCACTATGTAGACCAGGCTGGCCTTGAACTCACAGAGATCCGCCTGCCTCTGCCTCCCAAGTGCTGGGATTAAAAGCGTATGCTACCACACCTGGCATGTCTGGATTTTTTAAAAAATATTTATTTTTATTTTATGTGTATGCGTGTATTGCCTGCATGTAGGTAAGTGCACCCGTGTTGTGCAGTGCCCTTGGAGGACAGAAGAGGCTGTCAGATCCCCTGGAACTGGAGTTATGGACAGTTGTTAGCTTCCATGTGGGTGCTGGGATTTGAACCCAGGTCTTCTGCAAGAACAGCCAGTGTTCTTAACCACTGAGCCCTCTCCAGCCCCTGGAGTCTATATCCTTTTGACCTCCCTCCATCATCCTGTGAATGCCTTTGCTTCACTAGGCAAAGGCATTCACAGGTTGGTCTAACAAGATATCAACCTTTCCAGCCTCTGGGATCAATTAGTACTCAACCAGCTCTGATTATTCTGGGCTGGAGGTATAGCTCAGTGGAGACAGCTTGCCTACCATGTACAACGCCCTGGGTTCCATGGTCAGCCCAGGGGTAAAAAAGGAAAGAAAGAATAATGGAGGTGGGCTTGGTGGTGCACTCCTTTAGTCCCAGAACTTGTCAGAGGCAGGTGGATCTCTGTGAGTTTGAGGCCGGCCTGCTCTACATGGCAAGTTCCAGGTCAGCTGGGGCTACAGGGAGACCCTGTCTCAAAAAGTGAAAAAAAAAACAACAAAAAACCCAGGCATGGTGGTACATGCCTTTAGTCCCAGGGAGACCCTGCGAGGAGAAAGAAGGTACACACAGACTACAAGGAAAAGCACTGTTGAAGGGTAGTCTGTGAGGCTCAAGGGGCATATGAGTTCCAAGGCACCTTGCACACTTGTGTTTCTTGAGGGCTGGTATTATAATTGTTGCTATCACCATCTTTGGAAGAGGAGCCCCTCTGCCAGGCTGGAGGCTAGGTTCTTGGGTTTTTCACAGGGGGAGCTGTGTTTTCTGAGCCCTATATGTCTGGAGTGTCAGTCTGGAGACCCTGGAGGATGAGGAAAGGCTATGGCTGGACTCTCTATGATCTAGATCCTGGCTGGGGGGAGCCCCTCTGCCAGGCTGGAGGCTAGGTTCTTGGGTTTTTCACAGTGGGAGCTGTGTTTTCTGAGCCCTATATGTCCCTCTTGACCAGGGTGTCAGTCTGGAGACCCTGGAGGATGAGGAAAGGCTATGGCTGGACTCTCTATGATCTAGATCCTGGCTGGGGCCATTTGCTTAGAAACACGTGGGGCTTCTATCTGGGAGATGGCACAGGTCAGCCCCCAGGGACATGAGTCTCCTAGAGGAGATGACTTCAGCTCTTGGAAGCCTTCTCCTGAGGTTGGAGACTCAGTTCAGCTCTCAGGAGTCCCTATTCAAAGGAGGGACAAACAGCCTGGATTTCAGGAAAAGTTTCTGGTAATACCCTTCCATTAGTACAGCACTCTGTAGTTTACAATTAATAAATGTAAAAAAAAAATTTAAGATGGCATGCACCTGTGATCTCAGTGCTTGGGAGGTGAAGGCTAAAGGATCAGGAGTACAAGATCAACTGACTATGAGGTGAGTTGAGGCCATACTGGGGTACATGCGACCTTGCCTCAACTAAACAAAACAATCCACCAACCAAACAAAACAGAAAAGTGAAGAATTTAGAGCTGGATAGATGGCTCAGTGGTTAAGAGCACTGGCTGCTCTTGCAAAGGACCTGGGTTCGATTCCCAGCTCCCAAACGGTGGGTAACAACTATTCCTAACTCCAGTTCCAGGGAATTCGAAGCCTCTTCCGACTTCCATGGGCATTACAGAACATACATATAGGCAATACACTCATACACATAAAATAAAAATAATCAGACATGGTGGTGCACGCCTTTAATCCAAGCAGGTGGGAGGCAGAGGCAGGAGGATCTCTGTGAGTTAGAGGCCAGCCTGGTCTACATAGCGAGTTCCTTGTCAGCTGAGGCTACTGGGAAACCCTGTCTCAAAAAGACCAAAGAACAAGCATAAAAAATAAAATAAGAGCCGAGCGTGGTAGCGCACGCCTTTAATCCTAGCACTCGGGAGACAGAGGCAGGCGGATCTTTGTGAGTTCGAAGCCAGCCTGGTCTACATAGTGAGCTCCAGGACAGCTGGGGCTACAGGGAGACCCTATCTCAAAAAAGACAAAGAAAAAAAAAAGATAAATAAATAAAATAAATAAAAATAGTAAATAATTTTTTTTTTAAACCCTACAAAACTCTTTGCACTTCCAGTCGTGTCAAGATGTGAGCCCAGAGCTTTCTAGAAGACGCTCAGGTATCCGGTGACCATAGCAACGCAAGCCAAACTCTGGGCCCCTGGGCTCCGCCCACCACTCCAGGGCTGCGTCTGCGGATTTGCTCCTCACGTTAACCAATGGTGAATGAAGCGGGCTGTCTGCCGTGCGGTCAGTGGCCAGCGCCGGGAGGCGGGCGGGCCCTGGCGGCCGGGCCGCTGCGTGTTTCCGGCTCCGCTGCGGAAGGCGAGCTCCGGGAGCCTTTGGGCCCGGCCACCTGTACAAGCGCGGCAGGGAGCGCGGAGCTCGGAGCAGTAGTGGCGCGATGGGCGGGGAGCAGGAGGAGGAGCGCTTCGACGGCATGCTGCTGGCCATGGCGCAGCAGCACGAGGGCGGCGTGCAGGAGGTAACGGGCGCGAGACTGCCGGGTCCCCAGCCCTTCCCCGCCGCAGGATCGCGCGGGGTTCCGCCCGCACCTTCGCCCAGCGCCGCAGCTTTTGGGCCACCCCCGACGCGGGCCAAGCCTCTCCCCGGCCGTCCCGGGGCCCTCCTGCCCCCCTCGCCCCCATTCGTGCTAAGCCGTCTAAGCCATCCGTGGTCCTCGAGTCACCCCAGAGCCTAGGCATGCGCACGTGCATCTGCTTCCCTTGGGATGTCCACTCCGCAGAGCATCACTAGACCAACTCTCTACCCTAGACTGACCCTCCCGGACGTGGTTTGCATTTTACCCTAAGTGGAGCCAGCCTATCACTTAATGTGTGGGGTAGTGGGCAGGGGCGGGGGAGCGGAAGTAAAGTAAGGTTAGCACGTGGCCTTTTTTTTTTTATATAGGATTTTAACTTTTATTTTGTCAACGTGTTATGCCTGCATGTGTGCAGGCTCACCCGTGCCGTACAGTACCCGCAGAGGCCAGAAGAGGGCGTCGGATCCCCTGGAGCTTTAGGATGGTTATTCGGCATCATGTAGGTGCTGCTCTTCTGCAGGAGCAGCCAGCGCTCTTAACCCCTGAGCCATCTATCCAGCCCCACACGTGGCCTTTTTAGATCTTGAATGGGGGAATAGGAGACCAGTAGTCTCAGTTGCTTTCCACTATGTTGAGACCTTTCATCTTGCCAAGCCTCAGTTTCCTTGTCTGTGAGATGAAATTTAGGAATACCAGTTTTTGTTTGTGCTTTGTTTTTTGAGTCAGGATCCTCAACTGTCTTTTTTTTTTTGAGACAGGGTCTCCTTGTAGCCCCAGCTGTCCTGGAACTCACTATGCAGACCGACCAGGCTGGCCTTGAACACATAAAGATCCGCCTGCCTCTGCCTCCCAAGTTCTGGGATTGAAGGTGTGTACCACCATGCCAGGCCAGGATCCTCAACTATACTGTAGCTATAGCTGTCGCAGAACTGTTACATAGACCAGGCTGACCTCCAGTTCTGGACGATTCTGCTTCTGCTTTCCCCATGCTGGGATTCAGATGTGCCACCATGCCCTGTGCCCATTTTCTTGAGTTTTAGGAGAGTAGTGCCTTGAAAGGAAAAGCCAAGTTCTTAAAGAGGCTTATTCATTCAATAAGTATTTTCTCAAGTCATTAATATGTGCCAGATCCACAAGCCTGGGTCCTGGGGCTACAGACAGGAGCAGAATCTTGTCCTTGCCCCCCACGAACTTCTATGTGTGTGTGTGTGTGTGTGTGTGTGTGTGTGTGCACGAGCACACATGTCACAGCACACTTGAAAAGGTCAGAGGACAGCTTTGTGGAGTCCAGTCTATTCTTCCATTGTGGGTTCTAGGGATGAAACTCAGGTTGCCAGGCTTGCAAAGCAAGCAGCTTTACCCACTGAGTGATTTCACCAGCCACAGAAGCACAGTGTGGTGATGTGCACTTTTAGTCCCAGCACTGTGGGGGGAGAGGCCAGGGGGCTGGAGAGATTGCTCAGTGGTTAAAAACTTTATTGTTCTTCCAGAGGACCTGGATTTGATTCCCAGAACCCACATAACAACTGATGACCATTTGTAGCTCCAGTTCCAGGGAATCCGACACCCTCTTCTGGCTTTGGGGCATTGCACACATGTGGCACACTTGCATACATGCAGGCAAAACACTCATACAATACACATAAAATAGAAGAATAAATAGAATTTTTAAAAGAGCATAATTCAGGTCTGGATATGATTGGCTGTAATCCTGACACAGGAGAGGGAGGAGGATTGCCATGAGTAGGAGGCCAGTCTTATCATTAAAGCAAATTCTGAGCATTCCAAGTATATATAGTGAGACTGTCTGGAACAAAAAAGCTGCAGATAAGCCATCATTCATGTTGAGTGACCACACTCAGTAATACCATGGATATAGCTTATAGCTTATGACCCACAGAGACCACCTGACACATTCTTTGTCTTTTCAAACAGAAGTAATGGGAGGGGTAGAAGAACCTGTGGAGATCAGCACAGAGCGCTCATTTTGTAAGCACTGAAGGGCCACTGCCTAGCATTGCTGCCTAGAGAGTAAAGGATTTGCCCAATGTGAGACCCCAAGGCCCTGGCCTAGACAGGCCCCTCAGGCTAGTGTGCTTTCCTCAGCCTGTGGGTCACTGAGGGTAGGTTTCATTTAACTCCCCATGCCAAGTGTAGGTGCCTGTGTTGACCCAGGCACCTACACTTTGAGGTGGGAGACAGTTTCTAATCTGCAAATGTGAAAAGGCTTCTTGTTCCCATTCCCCTAAATTGACACAGAATGGATTTGGGAGTTCACTTTTTGTTTGAATTGATTTAAAAAGTGTCTAGAAGTAGGAATTGCACCCATCAGTAAGTTTGAGTGGCCGATTTAATACTCATTCGGTCAAATAAAAGAGCTGGTATAGCTGGGTATGGTGACGCACGCCTTTAATCCCAGCACTTGAGAGGTAGAGGCAGGTGGATCTTTGTGAGTTTGAGGCCAGCCTGGTCTACATAGTGAGTTAAAAAACCAAAAAAAAAAAAAAAAAAAACCTGGTATACATGCGCCTGAAGTCACCGCTAGGTTAGGTCAGCAAGAACTTTACTGAGCATGTACTGATGCTCTTCAGTTCATGGTGATATTGCACCCTAACATAGATTGAAAGTCTGAGGGGGCAACGCATTTCTGACACCTAACCTTCAGAACATCACAGCTCAGCTGCATCGTGCGTTGCAGATTATTGATGGTTGTGGAATAGCTGGCTGGGAGCCGAAGCTTGCTGCCTAGTATTACAAGAGACTGTCATAGGTACTGATAGCCTAGGACCTTTAAAAAAATTTTTTTTGACAGGGTCTTCCTGTAGCCCCATCTGGCCTCAGTCTCCCAGAGATCCACCTGCCTCTGCTTCCTGAATGCAGGGGTTAAGGGCGTGTTCCACCACAGCTGGTGTAAGACCAAAATTTAAAACCTGATTTCTACTCAGTGTGAAATCTATAAACCCTAAGGTAGTCATCATCAGCTGGTGACCTTCTATTCACTGAATCATTATTGGGGCCCTTGTTATGTATGTGGAAAGAGTAAGCTGTGATTCCTGATTCCTGTGTAGGAAAAGTTTGCCTTCTACCAATGGATCTCCTGTTCTGTGCCACACACTCCTAAGGGCTTGCTTCTATTACCTCATTTGATTCTTACAAGGTCTTAGAATTAAGTCCTGCAGTTAAAAAACAAAGTTCAGCATTGATTTCCAGATTCCTGACATCGTGTGAGTCTCATGCTCAACCACTTGGTCCTCAGTGTTTTTTTGAAGATCACCTGGCCTAACCTTTGATGTGGTTCCATTTGCTCCCTTTTGACTGTCCTAGTTACTTAACTAGTTTTATTTGCATTTTGTTTTGTTGAGACAGGGTCTCACTATGGAGCCCTGGCTGGCCAGGAACTCAGTAGGAAGACCAGGTTGGCTTTGAACTCACAGAGATCTGCCTGTTTCTGCCTCCCAAATACTGGGATTAAAGACATGTGTCACCATGCCTAACTTTTTAAGATTTCATTCTTATTTGAAATTATGTATATACATATGTGGGGGGGGGGAATTTGCCCCTGAGTTCAGGTGCCCACAGAGGCCAGAAACCTGGGATTCCCCAGGAGCTGGTGTTATAGGTGGTGGGAGCCAGCTGTTGTGGATGCTGGGAATTGAACTCAGTCCTCTGGAAGAGAAACAAGGCCTCTTAACCTTGGAGCCATCTCTCCAGCCCCCAGATGATTGCTATTGTTGTTAAGGATCTCATGTGTCCCAGGATGGCCTTCTAATCCTCCTTTCTTTACCTCCCAAACACTAGGATTACAGAATTCACTATCCTCGGTTTTACAGGTTGCTGGTTCTGGGCCCCATCCCCTTATTTTTATTTTATTATTATTTTATTTTGTGTACATGTGTGGGTGTGCTCATGCTATGGTCCATGTGGAGGTCAGAGGACAAGTTACAGGAGTCAGTTCTACCATTTGGATTCTGGGGCTTTAACTCTAGTCATCAGGCTTGGTTGGCTGCAGGCACCTTTACCCTGCTGGATGATCTCACCAGCCTCTTGTTTTGTCTTTTTGAGATGCTCTCCTATAACCCAGGATGGCATTGAACTTGTTATGTAGCTAAGGCTGGCCCTGAACTTTGTATCTTCCTGCCTCAGCTTCTTTTTTATTATTAATTTTTTGTGTATGCATGTATTACCTACACGTAGGTAAGTGCACCCATGTTGTGCAATGCCCTTGTTGGTCAGAAGAGGCTGTCAGATCCCCTCGGACTGGAGTTATGGACAATTGTTAGCTGCTATGTGGGTGCTGAGATTCAAACCTGGGTCTTCTGCAAGAACAACCAGTGTTCCTAACTGCTGAGTCATCTCTTTAGCCCCTTGCCTCAGCTTCTTGAGTGCTGGGATTACAGACAGGTGCCACATCGCTCAGGCTGGTTTGTGGGGTTTCTTTCTTTTTCTTAAAGACAGGGTTAGGCCGGGCGTAGTGGTACACGCCTTTAATCCCAGCACTTGGGAGGCAGAGGCAGGCGGATCTCTGTGAGTTCAAGGCCAGCCTGGTCTACATAGTGAGTTCCAGGCCAGCTGGGCCTACAGGGAGACCCTGTCTCAAAAAGACAAAAAAAAAAAAAAAGAAAACGACTCCCTGTACCCCTAGCTGGCCTGGAACTTACAGTGTAGACCAGGTTGGCCTGGAATTTGGAGATCCACCTGCTTCTGCCTCCCAAGTGCTGGGATTAAAAGCATGCACCATCACACAAGGCTGGTTTGTGTTTTGTTTTTTTGTTTGTTTGTTTGTTTTTGTTTTTTTTTTGAGGTGGGGTTTCATATAGTGCAGGCTGGCCTCAAACTTGCTATGTAGCCAAGAATGACTTGAACAACTGATCCTCCTGCTCCTGACCCAAGCGCTGGGATGTACCAGTATGTCTAGCTCACACCCGGTTTTTGGTTTTCTTTTTAACTAAAATTTATTTTATTTATTTTTTTGGTCTTTTTGAGACAGGGTCTCCCTGAAGCTCCATCTGGCCTGCAACTCACTATGTAGACCAGGCTGGCCTTGAACTCAGAGAGATCTACCTGCCTCTGCCTCCCAAGTGCTGGGATTAAAGGCATGTGCCACCACACCCAGCCTTTTCTATTTTTATGTGTATGAGTGTTTTGCCTGCATGTGTGTAAAATGCACCATGTGCATGCAGTGTCTGCAGAGGCCAGAAGAGGGCATTGGATCTCCTAGAACTGGAGTTACAGATGGTGGTTAGCTGCCATGTGGGTGCTGGGAAACTGAATCCAGGTCCTCTGCAAGAGCAGCTAGTGCTCTTAACCACTGAGCCATCTCTCCAACCCTTTTGATGGACTTTTTACTCTCTAGAACTAAAGGCTGGGTCCACATTTTTCAGGTCCTGGATGCAGAGTGTGTGTTTTGCTGTGTTGGGCACCACCTGGCAGGTGAAATGTGCGCACATCTATGCAAAAATTGAGAACTCAGTCTTTCAGGTGATAAGGTCAGGATAGCCTTCTTGGTGGAAGTGCCTGAAGGGGCCTGGTTGGAAGGCTGTCACCTAAGATGGGAGGTTGAATGGTGAAATACTCAAGTTCCATCCTAAACTGGGAAGTTGACTGCAGTTGAGGGGCTCCCATCCTGGCACCCCCATAGCATTAGTCTTTTCCCTCTGTCTTTCAGCTTGTGAACACCTTCTTCAGCTTCCTTCGTCGCAAAACAGACTTTTTCATTGGAGGAGAAGAGGGGATGGCAGAGAAGGTGAGTGACCTCCTTTTCCTTGGGCAGCTCTGTCTGGAAGAAAAGCTCCCCTGTCTCCTTAGCATGAGGAGCCTGAGCTAAAGCAGAGTGCCAGTCAGCAAACAAGCTGTCGGTGAGGCCCTGGTCCTGAGTTTCTTGTGGTGTTAACCATTTCCATTTTACAAATGAGGAAATTGGCTCAGAGATGTTTTGCACTTTGTTCAGGGTCATTAGCTGAGTTGTGGGAGAAATACCATTAAGACGAGTCTAGTCTATTGTAAGTTTGCCTTCTGCCCCTGACTCAACACACCACTACCAACCCATAAGGTTTTTACTAATTACCTTGCTTGGATAAACGTTGTAACTTAAGGCTTAAAGCCAGTCGTGGTGATACACGCCTATAAACCCAACACTCAGGAGGCTGGGGCAGATTGCTGGGAATTTGAGGCCAACCTGGGCTACATAGTGAGTTCCAGAACAGCCTGAGCTGTGATACGACCCTGTCAAAATCAAGCTGGGTGAGCATAGGCCTTTAATCCCAGCACTTGGGAAGTAGAGGCAGGTAGATCTCTTTGAGAACAGGGTCAGCCAGTCTGGTCTACATAACAGGTCCCAGGCCAGCTGGGGTTACAGGGAGACCTGGTCTCAAAAAACAAAAACCAGGGCTAGAGAGATTGCTGAGTGGTTAGGAGCACTGGCTGCTCTTACAGAGGACCAGTTTAGTTCCCTGCACCCACATAGTGGCTAACAACCATAAGTAACTACGGTTCCAGGAGAGGGGAGCACCCTTTTCTGGCCTTCACAAGCACTGCTTGAGCATGGTGTACTTATACACATGCAGACAAAACACTCATACACATAAAAATTAATTAAAAACAGCAGCAACAAACAAAAGGTTTGAGTAAACCAGGCATAAGGACTAAGGGCTGTAATTGTAGTACTCAGGAGGTAGGAGCCAGAGGAATAGGAGTTCAGGGTCATCCTTAGCTACACAGTCAGCCTGGGCTACATAGCTAGATCCTATGTCAGCCCCATCACCCCATTCCTCCCAAGCCATAATAAGCTCCTACCTCAGACTCTGTAGACTGGCTTATATCAGAAGAGCAGGAAAGAAAAGCTGTGCTAGTAGCCTAGTAGCCTTGTTTTTTATTTATTTATTTTTTAATTAATTAATTTTTTGGTCTTTTTGAGACAGGGTCTCCCTGTAGCCCCAGCTGTCCTGGAACTCACTATGTAGACCAGGCTGGCCTTGAACTCACAGAGATCCGCCTGCCTCTGCCTCCTGAGTGCTGGGATTAAAGGCATACACCACCATGCCTGGCTTATTTTTTATTTTTTTAGCTGAGGACCAAAATTGGGGCCTTGTGCTTGCTAGGTAAGTGGTCTACTACTGAGCTAAATCCCCAATCAACTAGAGTGTTGTACACCCCTAGTCTTTGTTACTTGGAGGCTAAGGGAGGAGCGTGGGTTAACCCACAAGTTCCAGACCCACCTGGTACATTTAAAAACAGATGACAACAGGAAATGTTGATAAAGACATGGAGAAATTGGAACCACTGGCCACAGCTGGTAGGAATTAAATGGTACATCTGCTCTGGAAAAAGAACATGGTGGTTCCTCAAAATATTAAAGAGTATTATTGTATCCAGCAATTCCATTTCTGGTCAAGATCTCGAAGACTTACACAGCTGTGTTCATGTTGCATTATTCAGAATCGCCAAAAGGTAGAAGGAACCCTGAAGTCCTGTCAGTACATGAATAGAGTTTGGCATATGCATACAATTGAATATTATTCAGCTTTAAGAGAGAAGGGAGCATCATGTGTTTGTGGATCATTTGAGGGCATATATAAGCTAGTCATGGAAGGACAGATGCTGTATACTGTTGATATGAATGAGGTTCCTGGAGTAGTTAGGTTCATAGTGATAGAGAATAGTTGCTAGGGGCTGGAGGTAAAGAACCAATGAGAGTTGTTTAATTGGTACAGCTTTTAATTTAACGAGCTGCAGTGTTCTGAACCCGTTTTAAACAATGTAAATAAAGTCTGGAGAGAGATCTCAGCGGTTGAGCATGCTGCTCTTCCACGGGACCGAAGTTTGATACATGGGGTGGCTTGCAACTGCCTGTAACTCTGTCTGCAAGGGATCCAATGCCTCTGGCCTCTGCAGATACCTTGATACCTTAACTCACATGCACACACACACATACACATAATTTAAGTCTTTTTCTTTTTTTTTTTCAAAGCATGCCAGGCGTGGTGGCGCATGCTTTTAATCCCAGCACTTGGGAGGCAGGGGCAGGTGGATCTTTGTGAGTTCGAGGCCAGCCTGGTCTTCATAGGGAATCCAAGCCAGCTGGGGCTATAGGGAGACCCTGTCTCAAGAAGACCAAAAAACAAAAGAAAAGAAAAAACAATATAATGGCTGGAGAGATGGCTCAGTGGTTAAGAACACACTGTTCTTGCAGAAGACCTGGGTTCGAATCCCAGCACCCACGTGGCAGGTAACAACTGTCCGTAACTCCAGTCCCAGGGGATCTGACAGCCTCTTCTGACCTCCTCCAGCATTGCATAACACGGGTACACTTACCTACCTGCAGGCAATACATGCATACACATAATAAAAAAGTAATAAAATAAAAAATTAGAAAAAGCAGTATATCACTTCAGAACTGTAGGTTTGATGTGAAGACGGCAAATTGTATACTTTTTTTTCTTTTTTTGGGGGGGAGAGGTCTTTTTGAGACAGGTCTACCTGTAGCCCCAGCTGGCCTGGAACTAGAACTCACTATGTGGATCAGGCTGACCTCAGTCTCTCAGAGATCCCCTTGCCTCTGCCTCCTGAGGGCTGGTCTTAAAGGCATGGACCACCATGCCCAGGTTAAATTTTTTTTTTTTTTTAGTTTAATTACTTTTATATGTATGAATGTGTTTCCTGCATGTATATAAGTGTACCTTGTGTGTGCAATGCCTGTGGAGGCTAGAAGAGGGTGTTGAATCCCCCCTGGAACTAGAGATATGGACAGTTGTTAGCCACCCTGTGGGTGCTGGGAACTGAACCCGGGTCCTCTGCAAGAGAAGCCAGTGCTGAGCTATCTCTCTAGCTTAGATGATATAGTAATTCTGTTTAACTTTTAACTTTTTTTTTGAGACAGGATATCACTATGTAGTTCTAGCTGGCCTGGAACTTCCTGTGCACACCAGGCTGTGTGCCTCTGCCTCTTGAGTGCTAGCTAGGACTAAAGGTGTGTACATCCAAACCCTGCGTATATTTAGATTTTGAGGAACTACCATTCTCTTTTCCAAAACTAAATGTAGATGGGCTGGGTTTGGTTGCACAGGGGTCAGTTTCTCCGTAACTTCATCAATTTTTTTTTTGGTGAGGAAGACCTGCCTGTAGCATTGTGTGAGGGGACCTGGAACAGACAGAATGCTGCTTTTCTTACTGCATCTCACATCCTCATGGTGTAGTTTAATGTTTCTTTGTTGTGGATTCCCAGGGTCTTGGCAGCTAGACTTCTATCTAGGCTTGACTTGCTTCTCTTGGTTTTTTTCTTCTTGTAACTGTTCATGGCTGTGTCTATTCTGTTGTGAAGAACGTAATTGTTGATCGTACCTAAAGCTGTTGTTTCATGATGCTCTACTGTTCTTTGCTTTATTAGCAAAGATTCCCCATCACTAATCATTTGGTCATATGGAAGGGACATCAGGAAAAGCTTTCTGAAGAATTCCTCGATTCCCTAGTGTGACCCATGAGGTGGGTTTTTCCTCCACTGTTGTCATAAACTCATGGTCATGAATAAATGTGTTTCAGGGGTGGTCACTAAGTCAGTCAAGAGGGAAATCTCTGTCAAAGGATACAAACCACTTTGATCCATGACAAAAGCGTGAGACTCCCTATTAGCACCAGTGCCTACCTCTGTCCCGGTCACTGTGCATACCCCTTGTTGATGACTGTCAACCCCGTGCCATACCATGCTTCTCTGAACCCCTCTAGTGGTGTGAATCTCATTTCTGTCTGTTTTTGGCTTTCTGTAAAGTTTACTCACAATTCTTTGTCATTTGATTACTTTTTTATGTGGTATTGGGGACTAAATGTGGGGCCTTTCCTGTACTAGGCAAGTGCTCTGTCATTGAGCTCCCCTTACCCTTTTTTCCTTCTTGGCAGGGTCTGAAAGTCTGGGTAGAGTAGGGCTATCCGTGGAGGACACAGGGTTGTCCCAAGTAAAGGGAGCAGCAGCGAGAAACAGATGCAGAACTGTGGAGGCCTGTGGTAGGAAGTGAGTTACTGAATCTGCCAGGAGAGGCAGCAACATGAGCTGCATACACTGGGTCCAACCTTGAGGACTAGGAAGGACTAAGGTCCGTGCCAGCAACGGGTCAGCCAGACAGAAGGACTTGGGCAGAGGCTGAGTATCACAGGCTGCAGGTTGTGGGGAGTTGTGGGCCATTCTGCGTAGGCCATCTGTTTGTGCTGGAGGCAGGACATTAAGACTGGTAAGACTGGTACCAGGTCTGTCCTTGGGCACTTGGATGAATGGCAGTGTCACTCAAAATGGGAACTACCAGGGAGGAGAAAGAAGCTGAAGGTAAAGATGGAGAGATGTAAGTTGGTTCTGTCCGTGCTTTAAGTAAGGCCTGCCATTTCTTACCTCCCCCACCCCAACTCTAGACATCTCCCCTGGGGCCTGTGGCACAGCTGAAAGCTGAGAAAAGGCAGGAGCCAAGATACCACTCCAGCTTAGTCTGTTCTCTGACTTGTGTAAAGGGAGAAAGATGGGATTGGGTGGGGCTTGAAGACAGAATTCAGCAGGACTCCCTCACTGAGCAGCTCACTAGAGGCATCCTCTGTTTGCTGCTTGAGTGCTCAGGGTTAGGACCTCATGCCTTTGGGTTGAGCTTAAATGGTTTTGTGATGTGCCCCACCAGTGGGAACCATCCTTCTGTCAGCCCAGTCAAGAAAGGCCTGCTCTTGCATGTGCCCACCCTGCAGGCCCAGCACACCTCACACCCTTTCCCACCTGCCAGGCTGTAGTTCCTAATGATCTCTGACTGAAGCTTGACTCTATGACCTTCTCTGGGGAGGTACCAGTGTCCAGCGTGTCCTTTTGTGGGTGGAGGGGTCAGAGGCTGCTCTGGTTGGCCTTGACTCTGACCAGTTGCTCGTCTTTACTCTTGTTTAACCTCCAGCGGCTAGGAAAAGGGCAAGTGGGTTGTGACATGACTTACTGGGGTTGGGAGGGGTGGGAAGGCCACTAGTTGGCAAATGGCTTGAGTTCAAGGTCCCACTGATAGGGACTTGGGACAAGGCCCTGTGGTGGAACAGCCCCTGCTGCACAGATCTCATGACCTCTTGTTTCTCTTGACAGAATGGCCTTTGAGTGGCTCATTTTTCTCCGTTTGTTATCCAGTGTACTTGGTGGAGGTCAGGGGCTTTGAATATCCTTTACTGTTGCAGAGTATGAAGCTACTGCTGTGTGGCATAGGGCCAGGGGTTAGAGTCACAGGAGTAGCCACTGATGAATGAGAGTCTGCAGGCATTTGGCAGAACCTTAGATGTGAGAGCCCATTGATAACTTAGAAGGTGGTTTCTTGACCACTGACCACATGGTGGGTGTCCTGTGAGACCTCCAGGTGTGCACTTATACTGTGTGTAGGTGGCCACACAGTTGGGTTTCCAAAGGGTCTGCCTATAGTCTGCTGAAGGTTAAAACTCAAGAGACACTTAAGCTGGTCTTGGAGAGTGAACAGCAAATGAGACAGACAAAGTCTAGGTAAGAACAGTGTATGCCAAGGCTGTGTTTAGAGAGGTATAGGGGTGACCTCAGGGTCACACTTAGTCATGTGACAGATGGAATAGGGGTAGCCCTTGTGTGACAGGGAGGCCAGCTAGCAGGGTGTGGGGTTGAAACATCCTGAGAAGGCTTAGTGGAAGTGAAAGGAATTGAAATTGGTAGCTTGCTTGTTATGATTCTAGGTGTGGCTTTGAACACTGCCTGGTTGGGCTGTACTACTGGAGATGGATATAGGCAGGGGAGAGGGACAGTCAAAGAACATGGGGTTCTGGGCCTGGGAGCTCAGGGAAGGCTTCATAGAGGGCCGGAGGTTGGGTTCTGCTTATAACAGAAGCAGCTACCAGCACCTACCTCATAATCAGGCACATCGTGTAACAGCAGTTGGGAGGCAGGGGTGTTTTGAGTAACAGCATTTGCTGTGCCGGTTACAGGCATGGGCATGACAACTCTGAGTCAGGTGTGTAGTCCCCACTTTGCAGATGAGGAAACATGTTGAGTGCCCTGCTTTGTCCAGGCCTCAGGCCTTGGGGCACTGTCCCTTGCTCTGATACTTGATTGCCTTCTTCCCTCCCCAGCTCATCACACAGACTTTTAACCACCACAACCAGCTGGCACAGAAGGCACGGCGAGAGAAACAAGCTCGGCAGGAGACTGAGCGTCGGGAGAAGGCAGAGCAGGCAGCCAGACTGGCCAAGGAGACCAAGGCAGAGACCCCTGGGCCCCAGATCAAGGAGCTGACTGATGAGGAAGCGGAGAGGCTGCAGCAGGAAATTGACCAGGTGAGGCTGAGCTTCCCTCCTCCACCCCCTTACCTCCCTGCCTTGGCTCTGGGAAGTCAGGCTTTATTGCCAACTGTGCCCTTTGCCCCAGAAAAAGGATGCAGAGAATCATGAAACCCAGCTCAAGAATGGCAGCCTTGGCTCGCCAGGGAAGCAGGTAAGGAGACTAGTGGGCCTGGGTACTAGTCCTCACCCTCCCCTGCACCCACCTTTGGGGACCCTCCCATATTTCAAGGTCCCACCTGGAGACATGGAAGAAATGGAACAGAGCCAGTATAGTAGCACACCCTGTAATTTCAGGCAGAGGGATTACATGCAAATTTGAGGCCAGTCTTAGCTACGTATTAAGACCATGTCTCAAAAGAGATTTAAAAAAAATAGTAATAAAACTCCTATTGGCCTTAAACCTAGGGCAAGAAAGCCCATGAGTGAGATAAGGTAGCACACGCCTTAAGTCCCAGCAGTCAGGAGACAGAGGCAGGCAAATCTGAGATTGAGGCCAGCCTGGTCTACATAGCAAGTTCCAGGCCAGCTGGAAACAAGCTCGGCAGGAGACTGAGCATCTCCCTGTAGGGAGACCCTATTTCAAAAAGAAAAAAAAACGCTACAATTTGGAGGCAGCGTGCCTATACAGGGCACCATGCAGGCTGGGCTAAGGGGCAATGGGCTCATCCATGGTGTAATAGTCTATACCATCTTACATGGTGTAGTAGTCTAAGCCCTTCTGGCAGAAATCAGGACCTGATTTGAGCTGTCTTTTCAGTGGCTCAGGGTTTGTTGGGGCGGGGGAGGTTGCCATGCTTTGGCCTGCTCTCATGGCTGGATGGCCAGTGGCAGTCCTAGGAATGGCTGGGTGGGGGTTTTGTCTGTCAGGTACATCATTGAGCACCCCTGACTGTAAGCAGGATGCTGAGGAGGAGGAGGAGGAGGAGGAAGATGAAAAAGACAAAGGGAAGTTGAAGCCCAACCTAGGCAATGGGGCCGACCTGCCCAACTACCGCTGGACCCAGACCCTGTCAGAACTGGACCTGGCAGTGCCCTTCCAAGTTAGCTTTCGACTGAAGAGCAAGGACGTAGTGGTGGACATCCAGCGGCGACACCTCTGGGTAGGGCTCAAGGGACAGCCGGCAGTCATTGATGGGGAGCTCTACAATGAAGTTAAGGTGGAAGAGAGCTCCTGGCTCATTGAGGATGGCAAGATGGTGACGGTGCATCTGGAGAAGGTGGGTGAGGCCTGTCCCAACCTAGGTGCTGTGGGGGGGAGATGGGGCCTAGCATAGACTACCTGTTCTTTTTTTTTTGGTCTTTTTGAGACAGGGTCTCCCTGTAGCCCCAGCTGTCCTGGAACTCACTATGTAGACCAGGCTGGCCTTGAACTCAGAGATCCACCTGCCTCTGCCTCCCGAGTGCTGGGACTACAGGCGTGCGCCACCACGCCTGGCTGTTCTCTTATTTTTTTAAAAATGTGTATGAGTGTTTTGCCTGCCTGTATCACATGAATGCAATGCCTGAGGAGGCCAAAAGAGAGAGTTGGCTCCCCTGGAATTGGAGTTACAGATATTTGTTAGCCACTCTGTGGGTGCTGGGAACCACACCTGGATCCTCTGCAAGAGCAGCCAGTGCTCTTAACCACTGAGCCATATCACCAGCCCCTCTCTTTGTTTAGGAAACAGCTGCGGTTTGCCTGTTTTTTTCCCTCTGGGAAGGGTGGGCAGAGTCAGGGTTGAGGAATCTTGTGTACCAAACCTCGTCCTTCCCACTTTTCACATGGGTTCAGTTCCACACATGCTTGGAATACGTACTGTGTGACAAGCACTGTTTTAAGGGATGGAGAGAGAACAGTGAAGAAAATGTAGAAAAATCTGTGCCCTCACGAAGTCCACATTGTCTGCCATACTGCCTTCCCAGAGAGGTGGGACACGTACTGGTAAATAAAGGTGGTGTCTGCAAGGGCCAGGAGTCCAAGGACAGCTTCCTCTGGCACAGTGTGGCCCAGATCACTTGGCTGCCACTCACCCTGTCTTGCACTTGGTTATTCTCTTGCCTGGAATCTCTTGGGTTTTTTTTTTTCCTTTTCCTTTAAGTTTAGTCCAACTGTCATTCTGGCTTCTCTTCCACCCCAGGTGACCGTTTCGAACTTCTTCCTTGCCCTTATTGTGTTGGTTTATGACTGCTGGCGTATTGTTCCCTTGAGGGCAGAGGTCTGGCTCCTCTGTACCCCTGGTCCTCGCACAGACCTGTGTGGGCCTCAGGTGGAGGATATGGGTGGGAAGAGTTTGGTTCTAGAAGGATTTAAGTGTGGTTCCTAGGTCATCAAGTGACCCTTCCCCCGTGGATGCCCTCTTCCTCCTCCCAGATCAATAAGATGGAATGGTGGAACCGCTTGGTGGCCAGTGACCCTGAGATCAATACAAAGAAGATTAACCCTGAGAACTCTAAGGTGAGCCCTGACTAGTTAGGGAAGTTTTCTGGTGGAGATATGGGGGAGTGGGTCCAGAGCCTCACCCATCCCTCTCCCTGCTGCCATCTAGCTGTCAGACCTGGACAGTGAGACCCGCAGCATGGTGGAAAAAATGATGTATGACCAGAGACAGAAGTCCATGGGCCTGCCCACCTCTGATGAGCAGAAGAAACAGGAGATTCTGAAGAAGTAAGCAGCTCGGGTGGGAGCAGAGAAAGGGGGGGACTGGGGGCTTGGGTGAGAACAGCAGGTATGTCAGAGTGGGACTCCAGAACTGCCCTGTTCCCTTCCTGAAACCAGTCAAGTTTATGGTTCCATGGCCTTGGCTTGCCTACCTTAATCACTTGCCAGCACAAGGCCACCTCAGTAGGAAGCAGTAGGTAACAGTCATTGGCGCTGAAACTGGTCATTGCCACCTACTGGAAACCAGTGCCACTGTTTACTTCCATTTCCAGCCTCTGGGCTCAATTGGGCTTCAGCTACCTGGGGCTCCACCTAGCTTTGATCCAGATCTCGGGGTTCTGAAGAGGTTAGGCCTGGTGTTGGACTGGAAGAGCAGGGGAACCCAGGACAGCTGCTTCACTTTCTTCTACTTCGCTCCCCAGGTTCATGGATCAGCATCCAGAAATGGATTTCTCCAAGGCCAAATTCAACTAGCACCTGTGTCAGCCATTCACTCCTTTCCCACCCTTTCCCTGGGACCTGGGAGCCTAAGGGCTGGGGCAGGCATGGGACTGGCCCAGGCATGTGGATTCCAGGGTACCACAGGAGAAAGGTTGAGCCTTGGGGGTCTTGTCCTCCCCAGTTGGCCTACTGTTACACATTAAAAACTATTTACCCAGCTCCACCTGTGTCCTCTCCCTCTGGACCTTCCCTGGTGGCTGCTGGGAGCTAGAGTTTTGGCTTCTGGGCCATATTCTACCACGTGACCTAAGGCAAATTCTTGCCCCTCTCTGGGCCTTAATTTCTCCTTATTACTTATAGGAAGAACTAGAACAAGGCTTTTAGTATGTATGGCTGTAAGGAAAGGTGAGTTTTTCTGGCTACAGAGACCAGAACAGGTCAGATTCCCAGAGGGGCCATGACCCAGCAAGGTTAACAGCAGCTGTACTTAATTATTAAGCCCTGCCCCCCATCCCAGAATCAAGGATTCATACTGGACTGTTTCCCAGGGGCTTGAGTAACACTGCCTAGCCCTGGGGAGGGAGGCAAGATGTCACAGTCTTCAAGACTGCTGTGGGGGGGGTCCAGGGAGAATAAAGTCTAGTAGGGCCCCACTGTTTTTGACCTGGCCCCCTGCAGATTTTAGGCTGCTTCAGAGCCAGCCCCAAGGCAGTATCAGGGTCAGTGGGGTAGCCCCTTCTCAGATCTGGCCCCTGGAGCTCTCTACCCTGCTTAGCCCTAGAGGCCAGGGTGCAGAGGCTGCAAGGATTAAGGTAGTACCCAGGTTTCCCCAAACTTGATAAACCTTTTTCTGGGAATAGTGCTTTGCAAAGCTGTTTGGAAATTGGTTTCTAGGGTCAAGGCTAGAGTTTAGGCATGGTGATGTCATTCTTACTCTGAATTCCCATGCCCTATCCTGTTCCTTTTGCTTTGGGGGGGTGGGGGGGAATACACATGGACAGTTTTGGTATGTATCCCTGGTTAGCCTAGAACTCAGTATATAGACCAGGCTGCCCTTGAACTCATGGCAATCCTCTTGTCTCAGCTCAAGTGCTGCGATTACAGGGGAGTGTTTGCCACAGCACCTTTTTCCTCTTTCATAGTTCTAAGGATCAGACTCAGGACTGCACACATACTAAGCAAGTATTCTACCACTGAGCATCACCACCAGTCATTTCATTCATGTCTAGACCTGGGTAAGACAGGAGCACCTAAGGAAAGGGGCCAGTTAGAATGTTAGAGCTCCAGCTGAGCTCCCGGGGATCATCCTTTGAGTCTGACAGGAAACTAGATAAATGGTAGTTACCTCTTTCCAAAGGGCAACCATGGCTGAGACCACAAAGGGCTGGGGCTGTAAGTGAAGAGGGTAGGAAAGGAATTGCCTCATTTTCTAGCCCGTTTGTCTCTGGAGAAAGGGTCTGTAGGCCTGCCCAGGGCTGACTGATTTTTTTTTTTTAGAGCCAGGATCTTTGTAGAGCTAGGGCTTGAACTGTTGCACTACTTCCCCAGCTTTGTTTGTTTTTTGAGATGGTCTCACTTGAGTTGTCCAGGCAGGCCTTGAACTTGTGACCCTCCTGCCTCAGCCTCTCAAGCAGCCAAGATTACAAAATCATGCCCAGCTAGTCTGAATAAACAGAGGCACCCCTGTAGGGAGCAACCAAGGGCCCTGAACATAGCTGGTACTAATGCCTTGTTCTGCCTCAAGGAGCTCAACTTCAGAGTCAGGGCCAGTTACTGGCTACAAGGCTTTCTTTGAGCCCCAGACTTTCTCCTCAGGTTGCCAGAAAGAGTGGCGGGATAATGGCGAAAAACTGCTAGCTGGGAGTAGTGGCACAAGCCTTTCATCCCAGGCAGAGTTCAAGGCCAGCCTGGTCTACGTAGTTGCAGGCTAGCTGAGGGTACAGGGAAACCTTGTCTCAAAAAGACAACCCTCCTCCAACAATGTTGTGATAGCACCAGGGAGAGGTGAGAGTCGCCGACAAGCAATCTTGTATTTGGGAAGACTAGGGTGGCGGCAGGCCAGCCTATAGGCAGTGGACTTGGGAACTCAGTTGAGGTAAATTGCCCTAGAAGTGAGGAAAACCACTTAAACCCTTGCCAGGTGTAGACACTGGAGATAGCTTTTTATCTCCTGGAGCTCAGTGAACTGGAGCTGTAGGCAAGCGTGCTCCTAACTTGTCCTTCTGACTTTAACTCCACAATGCTGAGCCAGGCTGGAAACCTATATCCTGTACCCTGTTCTGAGCAACAATTAAGGCAAATGGGACAGAAAGGACTGTGTTGTAGCCCAGATGACCAAACAGCTATCTATACTTGGAACTATGTCATGTTAACATGTTAAACATTCAAGAATCAGAACAAACTGCTCAACAGAATATAACAAGCGGGCACTGCCCACAATTCTATACAGAGGCCCTGTTGCCCCAACCCAGTCTACTGAGTATCCATGATTGCTTAGAGTGGTATGTGGGAATGGAGCCAGGATTTAATCTGAGAAGCTAGCTCCCAAGGCTTTTCTTCAGATTTCAGGCCACAGGAAGGAAAAGGCCCAGGCAGGAGTCAAGCCAGCTGGAGATGCAAGGGCACCTATGGCCCTGTGAAATGCATGTGGTATAGGAACCAATCAGCCAAGGCAGGAGGGGACCCAGAGTGGGCACCACTTCTGGGCTTGGTCCAACTTCCCTTGTGTGGACCCACACGGGGTTCTGGTTCCTCTGTAGGCTATCCTTCTCCCAAGAGGGGCTGTGGTTGTTGGGCCGGTTGGGGTTAGCAGTACACTTGCAACAGGGGTGCCCCTGAAGAGTCTGTGTCCGTGCCCTGGAAGGATGAGTTGTGGCTGGCTGGGTACCCTGGTGGGGGAAGGAAGCAGAGGCTCAGAGAGGGTTAGGAGCTCATCTGGGGCCCAGGGCCAGGGAGAATCCTCCTAGAGGGAACAGGGCGGGACTTGGTCCTGATCAGTTATCCTGCATGGGTGACCCCCCTCAGTGTTTTGGTCTCTGAACCTCAGCCTCACCATGTAAAAGGATAATGACCTTGCCCCTTAGGGGTTGTGAAGTCCCAGAAGACAGCAATAAAAATTGAGGGTTAGGAGCTCATCTGGGGCCCAGGGCCAGGGAGAACAGGGAGAATCCTCCTAGAGGGAACAGGGCGGGACTTGGTCCTGATCAGTTATCCTGCATGGGTGACCCCCCTCAGTGTTTTGGTCTCTGAACCTCAGCCTCACCATGTAAAAGGATAATGACCTTGCCCCTTAGGGGTTGTGAAGTCCCAGAAGACAGCAATAAAAATTACATAGGGAGCTTCTGCAGCTGCAGGCTGGATGGCCTGCCATCTGCCTCCCCTTGCTTCAGTCAAGTCAGCTTCCAGGGTGGGGTGGGTATGTGGCTGCTCAGCTTTTTTTCCATTTCTGATCCCATCATCACCCACCCCCAAGGAAGCTGAGGGCCCCCTAGGATATTATCCCACCCTCTGGTCAAGTCAGGACCACACCTGGGACTCCATATGGCCTCAGCTTCCGGGCGATGGCATCTGCTGTTGTCTCCTGGGAGATCTGCACTGTCAGTTCTAGGGAGCATGAACAGGCAGTGGTCATTATCATGTCCTTTAAGCCCCAGTCCTCTGCCCAGGGCTAGAGAAGCATGCTTAAAAGTAAGGACACATGGGCCAGGTGTGGTGGCACATGTCTTTAATCCCAACACTCAGCAAAGGCAGGCAGGCAGGCAGATCTCTGTGAGACAGGCCAACCTGGTCTACACAGTTGCAGGCCAGCTGGGGCTACAGGAAGACCCTGTCTCAAAAAGACCAAAAGACATAAATGAATTGGGGGTGGGGGTGGGGTAGGCTAGGCCAGTGGTACAAATTACTGTTGTATTCTGAGACAAGGTCTCTACCCTAGGCTGCCCTGGAACTCTTGGCAATCTTTCCTCAGCCTCTGGTGTGCCAGGAATAAAAGCATGGGCCACCAACACCAACCTTGTTTTCTGCAGAGGTCCAAATTCATTTGCCCTGGGACCTCTCTGGCCAGGTCTGGAAGCGCTCTGGCCAACAGGAGCAGGGGAGAAAAGCAGCCCATTGGACGACCCTGACAGTCAAAGTGCCCCGGGGTCTGCCCATTCTCCTCAGTTCTCAAACCTTACTATGCCCCAAGAACTCAGTCCAACCCTCCTGTTGCCAGAGCTGCCCTACCCTGCCCCTCTGGCCCACCTACCGTCCTGGCTGAGGCCAGACCCCACCATGGTCTCATGGCCACTGTCGGGGGCAGCAGCGGTGGGGGCAGCAGCTCGGGCAGAGCGCCCTTCGGAGGTCTGTGGGCGGGAGCGGCTTTTCCGTGTGCTGATGCGGATGATGCCACGCACCAGGCGGCCCTCGGCGTCCTGCTCATCCAGGTGGTAGTCCTGCGTGATGCTGCTAATCAGGTCTGAGATCTTGCTGGTTTTCTCCAGGAACACGGTGTCAGACGTGCACTTGGCCAGCTCGTCGATCTGGTGTACGCTGAATAGCTCCGTCAGCTTCTTGAAGATAAGCACATCGATTTCCCGGCTCGACATGGAGCCGCTGCCCATCTCGGGCAGGTCCAGGTCCGACTCGTGGAAAGAGTAGTACTCCTCGGAACCGCGGGGGCTGCTGGCAAGGGTGCTGGGCAGGCTGTGCCGTGTGGGAGGGGGCTCGGCCAGGGGCTCCTTGCAGCAGGAGTCCGCGTCGGGGACTGGGGAGGTGGTATTGCGGTAGGGGTAGACTGGGATGCCCTTGAGCTTGACGTCAGGGTAGCTGAAGCTGCTGCCCATGGTGGACTTGAGCCGCTGGCCCTCCCGGCGGGTCGGGGGTGCACGGTCCGGGCTGGGGGGCACGCCATTGTGCTCTTTGGCCCAGGTGGCTTCGGCAGACCCCTCAGTGGGGACCCCAGCAGACAAGCAGGGGCTGCAGCCCCGCACACAGGCCCCACAGCGTTGAAGGCAATCCCGGCAGCGGCGGAAGCAGAAGGCAGCCCTGCACCAGTCCCAGCCCCAGGGGCGCCAGAGCAGGCAGCAGGTCGGGGGTTCAGCGGCGGGATCCGCGGAGCCCGAGATGAAGGTGATGCTCTCCGGCCCATGGTGGCCAGGATCTTTGGGGTCGGGCCTGCGAGTGCGGCGGCCTGGTGGCGGGTGAGGAGGCTCATAGTTCTTCTCCAAGCATAGCTCTGCGGGCCGCTCCCAGGGCCCCAAGCTTGGAGGCCCCGAGGATGGTCGGGGCTGTCCCGGCCTGGGCATGGCTCAGCGCATGGCTTCTGGAAGCTGTGAGGAGGATGGGTTGAACATCCAGTAAAACCTAAGTGTTTTGCTCTTCTCTCCCCAAAGAGAAAGTTCTCTCTATGGTCAATCAATGAATGGCTAGGATTGAAAATAAAACACAATAACAAGTGTCAGTGGAAGCAAGAAATTAAAGCATTTTTGTTTTGCTGGTGGGAATATAAAAATAAAAAACAATATGGCAGTTCCTCGCGATTTAAACATAAGGGCTGGGAATGTAGTTTGGTGGTAGAGTGCCTAGCATGCACGAGGCCCTAGGTTCATCCCCAGCACGGCAAACAAAACAAAGACCAGAATTACATGACCCAGCAATTTCACACCTGGGAACATACCCAAGAGAAGTGAAAGCAACTTAAATAGGTATTTGTACATCAGTGTTCATGGTATCATTATTTACAAGAACCGCAAGGTAAGAGCAACTCAAAAGTCCATCAATGGATGAATGGATAAATAAATGTGGTATATCATATAATGGAATTATTTAGCTTTCAAGAAGAATGAAAATCTTCTGTGCTACAGCATGAATGAACCCTGAAGACATTATTCTGAGTGAAAAAAGACAAGAAGGAACACACACTGTATTGTGCCACATATGTGAAATATCTACATTTGGCAATTTCCCAGAAATAGTGTGGTAGTTGCCAGGGGATGGAGCAAAGGAAAATATGGCAATTATGTTGAATGCATACAGAATTCCAGCTAGGGAGATGACAAAAGTTCTTGAGTCACATAATGGCAACATGGTAAATGTATTTAGTGCCATAGGATGGCACTTAAAAATGGTGTGCAAAAGATTAAGATGGCAATTTTAATTATTTTACCACAAACAGGGAAAGACCCCCAGGGATCTCACTTTCTGAGAAGTGGGGACCTCTCCCTTCCTGCTGTTGCAGAGCCTCTCATCAAACGCCCTCCTGTCTGATGGGCCACCGTCATTACCACTCTCCTTCAGCTTCCCATCCCTCATCTCAGACATGGGAATAAAGCTTCCGTTGTCAATATTCCAGTCTAATTTAGATTTGCCCTCCTAGCAACACTTAAAAACAGGAAGGTCAGCCCGGTGTGGTGGTGCACGCCTTTAATCCCAGCAACTCGGGAGGCAGAGGCAGGCAGATCTGAGTTCAAGGCCAGCCTGGTCTACATAGTGAGTTCCAGGGTCTTTTTTTCCCCCCTAGAGGGAGGAAGATTGCTTTTTCTTAAGACTAAAGGGTCTCATGTAGCCAGATTGGCCTGATTTGCTAGGTAGCGAAGACTAGTCTTCCCAATCCTTTTACCTCTGCTTCCCAAGTACTAGGATTATAGGAGTGCATCACCCTGCCTAGCAACATCAAGCAGTTTTGATTCATTGCCACAAAAATAATCATAATCGGGCTGGAGAGATGGCTCAGTGGTTAAGAGCACTGACTGCTCTTGTAGAGGACCCAGGTTTGATTCCGAGCACCCACACGGCGGCCCTCTTCTGACCTCTGCGGCATCGCACAACACAGGTGCACTCACATACATTCAGGCAATACACTCATACACATAAAATTAATACAATTTTTTTTTGTCTTTTTGAGACAGGGTCTTCCTGTAGCCCCAGCTGACCTGGAACTCGCTATGTAGACCAGGCTGGCCTCAAACTCACAGAGATCCGCCTGCCTCTGCCTCCCAAGCGCTGGGATTAAAGGCGTACGCCACCACGCCCAGCCCCCTAAATATTTTTTAAAAAATAAATATTAAAAAATAATAATAATCATAATCTTCATGGGCCAGGGATGGCTCAATGGATAAAAGTGCTAGTCAGGCAAATGATCAAAGTTAATGCCACTGATAATGGGACAAAATGGCATTTTGTATCTCCTGACATGATGAACTAAGGGCACATCATTAAGTATTTCTTCTCCAAACATAACCTGAATGTAGTAACCATGAGATAAGACATTAATTAGACAGCACAGTTTGAGACATGACAATGAAGTGTATATGACTTTGCACAGGGCTAGGAATCAGGAGAAGAAAAATGGGGACCTGGATGATGTGAACCATTAGTGAAAGTAGAAAACTATTATTAGAGCCAGGGTCTCACAATGTAGCCCTGGCTGTCCTGCAACTTACTATGTAGACCAGGCTGGCCCTGATCTCACAGAGATCCACCTGCCTCTGCCTCTCAAGTGCTGGGATTAAAGGTGTGCACCACCTTGTCAGGTCCCATTTTTTTAAATGTATATGTGTGTGTCTGAGTAAGTGTGTGCCACATGTGTGAAGGTACTCATGGAGGCCAGAAGACAGAGTTGGAGTCCCTGAAGCTGGAGTTACAGGTAGTTGTGAGCCCCGGGAACCAAATTCAGGTCCTATAGAACAGCAAGAACTCTTTTTTTTTTTTTTTTTTAAATTTCTCCCCCCCACCAAGAACAGCAAGAACTCTTAACCACTGAGCCATATCTCCAACCCCAAACACATATCCTGAGTGCTGGGGTTAAAGGTGTGTCCCACTACACCTGGCCATACTATATATTATTTAATAATACTCTATCAATGTTAAATTCTCCGAATTTGATTATTATTGTTCAAGACAATGTTCTGGGATTTTTGTTTTGTTTTGAGACAAAGTAAGACCGGTCTCACTATGTAGCCTGGTAGGCCTGGAACTCCCTATGTAGATCAAGATGACTTCAGACTCACAGAGATCCACCTACTTCTGCCTCCTGAGTGCTGGGGGTTTTGCTTTGTTTTTTGAAATAGGGTCTCGAGCAGTCAAGGCTGGCCTCAAACTTACTATATACTCGAAGATGATCTTGAACTTCTGTTCTTCTGCCCCCATCCCACGAACAGTAGAATTATGTAGTGCTAGGGATCAAACCCAGTGCTTATTAGGTAAGCATTCTATCAATTGAGCTACATCCCCAGCCCTGCCTTGAACTTTTGATTCTCCTCTTTCAGCTTCCCAAGTGCTGAGATTATAGGTTTGCCACCAGTCCCAGTTCCCTAGATGGTATCTTTAAATAGTAGGATCCCAAAACTTTTCCTTTTGACTTTTGATTCTCTACAAATTACTAATGACAATGATGAATATATACATTTCTATGACAAAGAGAATAGCCTAGTAGCTTTACTTAGGAAACAGACACTACAGCACTTGGGGGTAAAGGGGCACGATATCTGCAGTGTGATCGCCAATGGTTCAAACCAACTAACCAGCACATGCCCAGAGGGCTTGTGTAGAGATTAGTTGTGCTTGATGAGGATGACATGGGAGTTCTTTGTTCCTGTAACTTTCCAGCCTTCACTGGGGCCCCTAGTCTGATAGGACATCCTCTTCCCACACCCTTCTACTGGGTTCTCTTGATGACCCAGTCAGCCTTGTACCCATTGTTTTAGGATAAGCCTACTTCCCCAGGGACCTCCAAGAGCCAGCTTCCTTTCTGCCTCAGTGCCTGGAGCAGGGTCAGATTGTAAGGTACTTTCACAGCACAGACATATTCTGTGACTTCATGGTAGAAACAAGACTACTGGGTTGAAAGAAAAGATTTAGGCTCTAGGCTAATGAGAACATGGGACCAGCAGTCTTGGGGAATGGATGGGGGGGAGTGAGTGTGTGTGTGTGTGTGTGTGTGTGTGTGTGTGTGTGTGTGCGTGTGTGTGAAATCCCATCTTTAGACATCTACAAGGGGTATTTCTCTTTTGGAATTTCTCCCACTCTGCTCAAAAAAAGTATACAAACTAAAATTGTAATAAGCAATTTTAGAGTCCCTCACAACTGAATGGGGTGGCACACAACCATCATCCTAGTACTATCATCCTCAAGCTGAGGCAGGAGGATCATGACTTTGAGATCAACATAAGCTACATAGCAAGACCGTGTCTCCACAAAACAAACAAGGTGAAATGTTCCTCATAACCCAGAGGGACATTAAAATGTCTGCCCTGATTTGAGTTATGGGAGATTGGCATGGACTCATTCAATGAACAAATACTGAGGGCCTACTGTGTATCCTAAATTCTGTGGACAAAGTAGTAAAGCAGACCAACTCCCTAGCCTCAGGAGCTTACATTCTGGTGAAAGTAATTACTGAGGGCTTGCATTGCTTTAAGTGCTTTGCCTGTAATAAATTTATTGATTCTCCCAGCCCTCTTAATAGTATTATTACCACTATACTGAAGCACAAAGATTAAAAGTTGTCCAAAGCCACACTTTTTTCTTGAGATAGGGCCTCATGTATCCCAGGCTGGCCTCAAGCTCACTATTTTGCTGAGAATAACATGAATTTCTCATCCTCTTGCCTTCACCTCCCAAGTGATGCTTTATACAGTGCTAAGGATCAAATTCAGGGCTTCATACATGCTAAGCAAATGCTCTATTTATCAAGCTGCATCCCCAGACCTCAAAGACACACTTTGTACCTAGCCCTTCTTGCCCAAATCCTCATCCCCTCCTCACCCCAGCTCAAGAGGACTCTTTACCACTCCCCCATCCTATCTGTGGATTGCAAGGCCAGAACAACCAGACAAAGCTGCTAGCATGAGCCTGTGCCCTTTGAAGGCTCGAATTTGGAGTTCTGAACCATCCACACCAATCTGAGCTGTGGGAGTCTGTGGGAAGATCAGGGTTACTGACCATGGACCAGGTTCTGTCTCCTTCCTACCACCAAGGCTTTAGGACTAGCTACTGTTTAGTAAATTTATCCAACACATTTACTGTTGGGCCAGCACTGTGCTAAATGCTGAGGAAACAGCAGTATATGGTTCAGAAATGGGCTCTAGCCAGGGTTCTTTCACATTATTTAGTCCTGACAACTGCCCTGTGAATAAGCAGTGCACCTCCACAACCCAAGAATCTGAAGCTCAGAGAGTGGTAGGGTTACAGGTAGGGAGCAAGCCAGCAAGCTGGGAAGAATTTGCTCTGTGATGGGCCAGGCCCTTTGCTGTGTGCCACATCTCTAGCTGGAGAGGAATGGTGAGAAGGGAAGCAAGGGCTACAGTATGGTGGCTTGCACAGGCATCCATCCCATTACTAGAGAGGCTGAGGAAGACAGATTGCCATGAGTTCAAGCCTGGCCTACAAAGTGAGACCCCTCTCAAAACAAGCAAACAAACCTCCTTGTGATAAAAACAGTGCCTAGCCTTAGTATTCCTTCAAAGAACCTGTTTATTCCAGGCTACATCTTCCTCTTCCTGCTGCTGCCCCTCCCTTCCTATCAATTCCAGCAACACCAGTGACTTGGTTTACTGAAAAACCAATTTTGCCTCTATTTTAGACAAAGACAAGGCTCTTGGTCTCAGTTTTTTTTGTTTATGCCCTTTTGAGACCGGTCTCAATATGTAGCCCCAGCTGTCCTGGAATTCACTACGTAGACCAGGCTGGCCTCAAACTCACAGAGATTCACCTGCCTCTGCCTCCCCAGTGCCGGGGCTTAAAGGTGAGCTTCCCTGCCCCCATTCTATCCCCCAGTTTCCTCATCTTTAAAAAGGCCCATTTTAGAACCTTAAATGGCAGCCCATGCCTGTAATCTCAACACTGTGGAAGTGGAGGCAGTAGAATCACTTCAAGATCATCCTTGGCTGCATAGTGGGCTCTAGATGAGCCTTGGCTACTTGAGACCCTGCCTCAAAAAACAAAAATTAAAATATAAAACAAGATTAAGTAAAATAAAAATAATTCTTTAAAGCCTCATTTTCCAAAATGGGAGAGATTAGTTGTCTTCCTAACTCCCCACTTAAGTTTTTTTTTGTTTTTTTTTTTTTGTTTAGATCATCCTTGGCTGCATAGTGGGCTCTAGATGAGCCTTGGCTACTTGAGACCCTGCCTCAAAAAACAAAAATTAAAATATAAAACAAGATTAAGTAAAATAAAAATAATTCTTTAAAGCCTCATTTTCCAAAATGGGAGAGATTAGTTGTCTTCCTAACTCCCCACTTAAGTTTTTTTTTGTTTTTTTTTTTTTGTTTTTTTGTAGTGACAGCCTGGCATGGGAAACGGGGCGTTCAGAGGCGCCACAGGGATACCCCAGGGTCTAGTGGATGCTCTGACTTCCCACTGGCTTTACCTTTCCAGCTCAGTTCCTGCAAACACCCTGCTGGGGGGGGTGTCTCCCCATGGTCCCTCTTCTAGGTCCCCAGGACAGCCCGACTACACCAGTCTTTGCCCAACTCTTGTTTCCTAGCCAAGCTTCATACCACCCGTCTGGAGGTGCTGCTCGGATCATCAAGCAGCCATCGACTCTGCTCCAGAGCGGGGACACCGGTACACCAGGTGTCCGGCCCCTAAGCACAGCCCATGACGCCATCTGCGGGCGCCTGGTCCCGGGGGCCAGGGAGACCCGAACCCGGCAATGCCCCGAACGCGCGCAGCTTCTGCGCCAGCACAGCCCCGGGGCGCGCACTGCCTCGCCCGCTGCAGCGCCTGAGCCTACGGGGGACCTTGGGTCCAGACGCGTTGTGAGTGTCCGGCCCCAGCCCCGCAGCCCCCTCGCCTGCGGCCCGCCCAGCCCCGCTCCTGCTCGGGCCGCTCCGGGCCCAGCCCACGCACCCCGGAAGTGGGCGACGGACCCCAAGCAGCCGGGCCCGCGCCCTGCCGCCGCCCCCCGCAGCCTCGAGGGGCTACCACCCTGGCGCCGCACCGCTCGGCGCCCCCGCGAGCCCGCGCGGGCCTTACCTGTCCCGCCAGGTGAGCCGCCTCCAGTCAACCCTTCCCCCGCCCCTCTGCGCTCACCTGGGCCGCAGGTGCGCGTCTCGCGGGAGCGCCGCACGGGCCGCCGCTAGGGACACACTTCCTGGCTCCGCGAAACGCCGCGGTGCATCTACCTGGCTGAGGCCCCGCCCGGGGCACTGGGCCGCACAGCGACGAGCTCCTGCGGCCCACCACCTCGGCCTAGTCGGGAACCAGGCCTGGGAGATGGGCTGCCAGGCGCCAGGGCTCAGGGTCGCTCTCTAGTCAGTGGCCTAGAAGTGGCCGAGTGCATACCAGATCTAAAGCTCAGGCTCACAGGGCATGTCTCCTAGAAGGCCTTCCCTGACCCCAGGCTCGTCTGGTTTCTGTTGTATGGAAGAGTTCTTTGAGTTCTTTATCGGAATTGTCATCAGGCTGTTGCTCTGCTTTGTGTCTCCTCTTTTTACCCTCTGACCTGGAGAGTAGGGTCTGGTGCAATACTAGCATAAGGCCTGGCACATACTAGGTGTTCAGCAAATATTCGTAACTGTTTGAATATCTAGATGTATCATCTATCTACCTACCTACCTAGCCATCTTTCTATCTATCCATTTATCTATCTACCTACTTGTCATCTATCTCTCTCCTATTTATTTATTTAGGTTTTCTGAGCCCAGGGTCTATTGAATCCTCAGTCTGTCTTCCAACTCACTAGGTAGCCAAGGCTGGCTTTGAACCCCTATCCTTCCTACCTTCACCTACAGACTCCTGAATTACAGGTACTCACTGTCACACCCAACATGAGTTCTGATTTCTTTCTTTGCCTTGGGACAGGACTATGGGCCAGAGAATACGTTTTTCTTTTGGCTGGTTAGTTCACCTTCTCATCTGTTTGTACAAATCTGCAGTTGAAAACATACCTTAGCTGTAGGGCCCCTGTGTAGGGTGAAGAAGCCAGTCAGGCTGAATAGCCCTGAAAGACATGTCATGTATCAGCAGAGAAAACCAAAAGATGCTATGATCACTGTTGGGGCAGGGCGTGGGGGGGCCCTCTTCAAAAGGCAGCACTATTGGGTGGCAGGAAGTCAAGGCTTAGTGTACCCTGACTACTGCCTTAATGACAGCTTGATAACTGAACAACAGTAAAGCCAACCGACACACGAATTTAGGAACATCACTAAGATCCATG